GGAGCCATTTGTAATGATCATTGCAAACTGGAAGTGTTTGCTACAATTTTGTGTAAAGTAACAGCTGCTGCTGGGATAGGAATAGCCATTAAAAATGAATACAGTAAGTAATTGCCCACATGCATAATATGCTGCTAACAACTCTATGATAGGAAAAATTTTTTGCAGGCAAGATTTAATTTTGGTGAAAAACAATGGTGGTAAGAATTATTTTGTTGTATTAAATTGGTTTACAAATGAAATATATAGATAAAGGTTTGAAAATTCATTTTCCACTTCACTTAACATTGCAGTTTAAATCGATGCGTTTACAATTTGGAGACACATTTGTTAAGGTGGAATCAATTTTGAAGACAGTCTCACAACCGACAATTGATGAAATCAAAAAGTCGTTGAGATTTTCCTACAATACATTACGCCCTCAACTGGATTTGTGTAAAGATATAACCGGCATCTTAGAATTAATGAGTGATAACAGTTCACTTGATGATATTAGCATGTTAGAGTATCTTGTCAATAAGCTAAATATAGAAGAAGCTAAGTTAGTGGTTCAGGAATACAAAGAAGTAATAGAGGAGTTTAGTAAAACAGAACTTAGTAAATGTTTGCACGAGTGGTTTTCATATGCTTCACCACTTCAATGTGAAAGGATTACCATTGTCGTTGATCAAGAAACAGAAGATTACACACTAAAAGATGTCAGGAGATTATCAGCTAATATATTTGATGAGCTTTCGCCAAATGTCAGGCTAAATGTTGTTCGGGATGAAAATTCATTCACTATCACTTGTTCCTTCCCTTTGATTCTATCTGAGCAGTTAATTACAGCTGCTCTTAATAATATTGATGTATTGAAAGAAAACAAAGTGAAGAGATTGACCATTGGATACTGCACTGTGTATGAGGTAAATAGACTATTTTATGAACTGATTTTATTATTAACAACAGATAAAGGACACCTCCACTGCTACTACAACAGAAATAGATGAATACACCTCATCATTATCAACTAGTAGTGGATTAATGAAACAATTGATGCTGTCATTGAGTGTACAACTGATTAATAGTAAAGAGGAGGTTACTACTTTAAATAAGGTATATGATGACTTAGTCAAACATTACATGCAGTTTGGTTCCATGTCTTTATAAATTATCATAGCTTGTTACTTTTAATTCTTTTTATAGGAAAATATGACAGTTAAAAGAGGTGCACAGTTATCAAAGAAAGAAGCAGAATCATTGAAGGAAACATTGGATGCCACAAACAAGATAGTGAGGGTTAGTATAGCAGAGAGTGATAAGTTTAAAAGAATGGCAGGTATAAAGAATATGATATTCTTTTTGATAACTTATTTTACTTCAATTAGCTGAAAGTAGTCAGTTATTGCAAGAGAAAGTATTACATTTAACAGAACGTGAAGAAGTTAAAACTATTTCATTGTTATTATTATGATATAATAATAGGAGAATGAGAATCTGAAAGAAATTAAAGAATTGCTAGAAGAACAGCTTGCTTTATTTCAATCTGAAAAAGCAGGTACGTGTACATTGTATATGTGAATATAAATAATACATTTGAATAATAAATAGAACTAGTTGAGAAGATTGAAGAAACACAAATACAGACAGTATTACATCAGGAAGAGAATGAAGGTATATACAATAAATATGATATATACAAGAAGTGACTCGCTTATATTAATTAATGTTGAAGCTAAAAGCAATGAAGAAATAGAAATGTTACAAATGAAAATTACAACAATACATTCACAAAGAATGGAGATGGATAAAAAAGTGCAAGGTGAATATGAACAGGTTTAGTTACTTATTAAAATTATTGGGTTAGAACTAATGTTGAAAAATAAAGAATTAGAGAAAGGTACATGTATTATATTTTAAATTTACTTATAATTTTACAATACTTTATTTTAGCTTTGCCAAAAGACAAAAGTTATCAAGTGAGCCTAAATGTAAATTCACTTGTTATAGCAACTAATAATAGGAAAATGATAA